TTTAATTGTAGCTGAAAAATATTTTCAGAACACCTCAGAACATCTCTGCTGCTTTTCGCCGCTCGTAGGTGCTGCTGTGCCTCCATGGGTGGGTTATAATGAAGAGGATGCCATACAGGAACAGATATTAGCTCTCTCAGCTGTAAATATCTTTAAAAAGCATTTCATTTCATCAAAGTTACTTAAATTATGCCTCACTGTAACTTTACTGCATTGTTTCAGGATAAAAGAAATTTTTTGCGTGACCCCCCTGCTGGGGTGCAGTTTTACTTTGACTTTGACCAAATGTATCCAGTCGCCATGGTTATGCTAGAGGAAGACGAGCTCCTGAGGAAGATGCGCTTCCATCTGGTCCCCAAACAGTGAGTGTGTCATAAGTTAACTGCGTTAACTGCTGTGTTTTCAATGTGAGCCTCCCTGCATCCCTCAGGGGTGACTGCGTTTTCCTCCATGCTGTTCTCCTCAGGGTGAAAGAGGAAGTCTTTTGGAAGAATTACTTCTACCGCGTGTCTTTGATAAAACAGTCGGCTCAGCTCACAGCTCTCGCAGCCCAACAGGCGGCTGAGTGGATTGATGTGAAGAAAACCTACCCTTGCAAAGATACTCATCAAAACGGTACAGTCTGCTCTCTCCTGTAAAACCTCTGCATTAAATACTGATGTTGATTTTTAAAGCTATGATATGAAAATTGATCAAATGTAAGAATGTACAAATATGACTGTAAGTATTTGTGTAATTCTTTATCTTAGTATTCGGGGAAGATTTGTTTTGATTTTGACTGATAGCATTTCTAGTTAGAACAGAGAGTGCAGGTTTATTGTGCGATAAAGCAAAAAGTGAGTTAACTTCTGGACCTTTCTGAGCATAGAGTGAAACCCGTTTTTATTTAATGGGCCACATACAGTCCAGTTTGATCTTAAGTGGCTTGAATGAGCAAAAACGCTGCACAGCAACATAAAAAGTCAGTAAAAAAATTTCCTTTTGAAAAAGTACAAGTAAAAATGTATTCAGTGAACAATCCATTAAAAATGGCAAACAGACGGAGACGTCAGAAGGAAAAAAAAGTGCGATCCCATCAGTATATCTCATTACATCAACTGCACATCTATAAAGCCACAAAATATTCACATGTGAATTATTTTGTAACTTAACTAAAACATCCGTGTGCTACTAGATCGTAACATTTAGATCTTAACATGCTTTTTGTGCAGTAATGTTCTTAAAACACCAAGAGTTGCAGTGTTTTGAATAATTGTACTTATTTATTTATTTTCAGTGTTCATAGTTTGTAAAGCTTTCATGAGCAGGATTAGACGATTTAACGTTCCGTTTCTGTTCCATCAACGATATGGTTGACGCTCGTGGCTTAGACTGCGTCCATAAGATGGGGAAATGTTTTAAGAAGTCCTGTTTTTAAAGGCTGAGTGTTTTCGTCATTGCTTTTTAAAAGGTAGATGTCACAATGAAGAGGACGTCATAGACAGCACTCTCATACATAGTCAACTTGTAAATCCGAGACAGCTCAGTTGTGTTCACGAAGAAATCAAATGCTTTAGAGTGAGACCACAAACTAATTGGCTTTTCGAATAAAGAAGCAGAGGGTCTTTTCGGCCCTAGACTTTTATACATTCTGACTTGCAACCACAGGCGTCGCCCTCTGCTGGTCATTGGAGAGCATTCAGGTTTAAGACATTTTGGGGTTGGTTTGAATTTTCAGACCTGGCAGCTCATCTTTTATATACAGTCTGTGCTTAAAGGCAACGTTAAAAGCACCATTAGGTTTGAAAAGGCATGCTCTTCGGCTCCAGGTAATGATGTGATTCCAGAAGCAGCATTTTGATCAGTAGGATCTAGCTCCACCCTCCTGCAGACTGATGCATGCTTTTGTATGAACATATAGTGTGAAAACTAATTGATCTTTTCTTGTTGTCCTGATAGCAGTGGGATTTAAAAAAAAATGTTATTAGTATTAGAACATTTTGAATATCACATTTTTCCCTTAAATACCTTTTCACAATGATGACATTTCATTTATTTATTTATTTATTTATTTATTTTTGTAGATGCCGTTAAATCAAAAGCCAGCAGCCTCCAACCAAAATCAAGTGAGGTAAGATTACCTGTTTTTAACCTCTGAGATCTAAACAATCCTAAACAAAGGCTGGCAGAATATGTGGTTTCTGGTTTTCGAAAGCTTTTCTTACATATCTCAGTTATCAGAGGATTTAAAAAAAAAACAAATTTAAAATGTTTTACTTTTCTTCATGTTTGTGCTTTTAGTGACACGGAGTGAGTTTTTCTCATCAGTGGTCAATGAAACAAACAAAACAAAACAAACCTCAGCAGCATGCTATGATACCTACGTTTTATAAATGACAACTTAATAGTCTTATAAAGGATACAGTAAAGGATTATTTTACTGTTAATATTTGCTGGTCATTAATATTGAATTTTGTATTATATTTGACAAGAGATTCTTCAGGTTAATTCTGATTGGCACGTGTTTTATAAGGGGTATTTATTTTTTAATGATTATCGGCTGTTTTTGTGGTTTTGTGATAAATATTTAACTGCTACTGCTCACTCTCATAACTTTATTTGAACCGAAAACACAAACTTTTCATCTTTTTGTCGGTTTTGGTGCCTGAATTTAACCAGTCAGCTGGTGGGACAAAAAAACTGTACAGAGAGCGAATCAGGACGCAAAGAATGAGCTCCAGGTTCAGTCATGTGATTTACACCACCGCCATCTGATCTAGATAATATTTATACACACACTACTCTGCGACCCTTAATCATTTATGAGGTTTTGCAAACGCTGTCATTTCATTGTTTGATGGTAAAAAGTTAACTAATTAAAGGTAATAGTTTTATCATTTATTATTGCTGCAGAAAGGTCATTATAAAGCAGATTTTAAAGCTGAATCTGAGCTTCTGTTTGCGTTATGAAAGGATGAAGAAGAGCTCTCCACCAGTCTGCACGTGTCTGAATTTGTAAGTGATACTTTTGACTCCTGTGAGATCAACAAGGACGACCTGTGCAAAGAGATGCGAGAGCTGGTTCTGGACAAGAGGGAAAACCTAAATCCAGAGCAGGGTGAGTGCTGTGGTTAAACTGGGACATTGTACTGTGTGTGTGTGTGTGTGAGCTCAGTGTGGTTTTTTTTGTTTGTTTCTTTGTTTGTTTTCAGAGGAGATGCCAGACTGGGAGAGAGAGCTGCAGGAAGAACTTCAGGAGTACGACGTGTTGGCTGACAGCGAAACCCACGATGATAACTGGGACAAGGAGATCGAAGAGATGCTGAAGGAGGAGAGTTAGAGTAATGAGCGACACCTTCAGAGGCGCTTTGGTGATTTCTTACATCTTCGGTCTTCCAACAGCTCTCCGTGGATCCATGCGCTCCCCAGATGAAGAGCTGGGAAGTTTGCATTCATGCGTGTTTAATTCAAAATGTGAAGAGAAAATGGATGTTACAAAGACAATGTGTCTCACATTAATAGAAGTTTACAGTATTTTTTTTTTCTTTACTTTGCCTGATTTGTTATCAGGATTAAAGCTAATAAAGATATTTTCTCGGTAATCTAGCTCACTCTGAATGGTGGGTGACTAAGTTACCAACTCGATGTCATGTTACGGATGAAAAGTTTGATTTGCAGCACATGAATTTCCAGCAGTAATCAAAAATCAAATATCTACTTTCATCCACTGTGTTTTTGAGTTTGCCGTTAAAAAGACGGCTGTAGCCATGGTGACACATCACACTGGTTTTGGACTCCACATTTTAAAGCCTCAGTGTTTGGCTGCCCTGTTGTTGTTTTTTTGAGCCAGAAGTTGGGCCAAAGGGTGGCGTGATAGGTAGTGGCTCCATAGTTTATTTTATGTGTTCACCTAACAAGCTTCCTGGTGCATCTGGTGTAAAAGTCTGCCAGTCAAGCATAGAGCTTTGTTACCAGTTACGGCAATGGACTTAATCTATGAAAGATGGACGCTACTTCTGAGCACTGAAGTGGAGCCAGTGTGGAAGTGGCTGTACCCTGCATTCTCTTAACAGCCAGCAGGGGGTGACTCTTGTTTCAGAAAGACCTCCAGTTGTGTAGAGGTTTATGGTAACTCGGCCTTCAGCTCCTGTAATCCATGATCTCCGTAAACATGTTTGTGATGAATTCACAACCTGAATCGGTAGTTTCATGTTTTATTGAACACAAAGTGAAGCTCATTTGATAAATTATTGTATGGATTATGGACGATAAAGCAGGATGTGCTTCAGGGCGGGGCTAAGTTGTGATTGATAAGTCATTAACAAATGAGCTTACAGCATTCTTGGGTTTCACAGTCAGATCCATTGTACCTCGGTTTTAAAAAGCTGAGACACTAAAGATAACCAGTTTGGGTCACATGTGACATCACAGTGGCTGTGCCCATTATTTATATACAGTCTTTCATCATACATATTATGTGAGGCTATGGCAAAAAAACAAGCAACATACTGAAGGAAGAATACAAGCGCTGCTTCGTTTGCACAGCAGGCTTGTGTGGAAGCTACATTTCTGGCAGAAATTATATATTAAACCGGACTATGAACAGTGAAGATTCTCTGTAATTCATTAAACCAGAGATTTTAGTTTTGATCTGGAGAATTTCATGAAACCAGTGAAGTATAACTCTCAAAGTTTATCCTCGACTGAGCCACCCTTTTTCATACATACAAATGATTTGTTGGTTTGTCATGCTTTTTAAATGCTGTTAATAAAATACCTACAGGCTTTGGACCCCGTGTATTTCACCAAATTTATTAAACAGATGAGTGAACATGCAGGTTTTTTGAATGCATTGTTTAATGTGAAACCATGCCGGTCTGAAGCAGTCTTCCTCTTGTTTATGTTTTTTGGGACTTTCCCCCCCTTATTTTTGTACATTAAAGATGTTTTTCTGCAGTTCCAGACATCATTGAAAAGCTGTGTGGTGTGAGTGAGACTTGAATGAATGAGAGGAGCCCGGCTGTTTGTGATACTCTCTCTTTATTGCTGAACCTGACAACAAAACATTAACGTCCTCTTTCTTTTTTTTTGTCCATTTCAGACAATGATAGCTGTAAACACATCACGCACAGGCTGCTCGGCACTCACGCTGAAGCTGCTGTATAATTCACTTTATACACAGTATGAAATAGCATCTGTTCTCCATAAGTCACACTGCCGATATACTGTAAACCACACACTATCAGTTGTACATGAAAAATGCTCATGTGACGTTATAGAAAACAGCCAGAGGCTTAAGAGTAGTTCAAAGTGTAAACGAGCTGTGACGTTTGGATTAAAACAAACCTGCACAGAGCAGAAAATAGACACCACTTTATGATATTTGTACAGTCCTGTGCCCAGTGTGTCAAAAAGTGGACCTATTATGTTTTTCCTTATTATCCGTCTTATACTGTAAAGATGGTGGATGTATGTAAAAGTCATTTCTTTGAGCCAAAAATTTAGTTTCAGGCAGTTTTTCTTATTTTTTGGATATCCCTAATAGACACGCCCACCTGCTGTAAAACAAGTTTACAAGGGGCAGCCAATCAGGAGCAGCTTGACTAGCTTCAGGAGATGAACTGAGTGGCTGCATTTAGGCCCAGATTATTTTTTAACTGCGAATCATTCAAAGCGACACTAACAGAGTCAAAGAGAAGGGAAATCAGCAGAACAGGTCCACTTTAAATGTGTGAAACATTTGCTTTTTCATCCAAGCGGCTGTAAATTATTTTCAGTACATTTACGACACTATTGCTATTTAATGCATGGTCACTTAAGCAGTGTCACAGTAAATAGGTAGTTTACATGCTGTCCAGTGTGTGGCTGTCACAGGCCGAAGAGTCGTTTATACTCAAAAGACAGTGAAACGGTTTTAGCAGAGTAGTCCTGATGAGACCTCAGCTCAGGGTGTAGATGGGTGGAGCACAATGTCGCTAGACCCCCTGTTGGATGCACTTCACACAAATCTAACACAGGAGTGATGGAGGTGTCTTTACGAGCTCTAACGTTCAAGTTTTCTAAGTACAATGCTCTTCACGAGCACTGGACTGGTGCTGACAAATATTACATCTTTTAAAAGAAGTATATGCAATACAACATCAGTAATCTACAGTACATGCTTACCTGCACTCAAAGAAAGACCTTCAGAACACGAAACAGGTAAACACCACCATGAAGCCAAAAAACTACTCTGTTTCAACCTCTGCTGGACGCAGTGACGACTTCAGCTATAAATGTTTCTGAATGAGTTCATGAAAACTGCAGAGATGTAATCAGGCAGTCAGAATTATAATAATAATTATACAGTATGTTTATATTCAGTGACATTATGAAAAAACAATATTTATGGGATTGGGAACATGAGACCATGCACTGTAGTAACTACTATTTATCACAGGTTGGAGACAAAGTCAGTGATTTTAAGCTAATGTCCTGATTACATCCATCAAATAACACCAAAGCCAGTTATCCTGAGTGTGAACTTAAAGCTGTGTTAATCATCATGTTCTATCTGGAAATAAGAAGAATACTTTTAATGTGAATGGGACAGATCTCCCTAACAAACCCAAAATCTGAGCCTCTTTATCTCAATTTTATTTTGGTCCCTTCAGCTGTTCCACACAACCTCCCATTAATCCTCTGTGCACCCTGTTGCCACAATAACATAAAGTTTGTGATTAACTGATTAAGAAAGTAAATCTCATGGTTTAAAGATATTTGTGGACAACAACAGAGAACTAAAGAACAGGAAATACCTACACTAACAAACACAACCTTCCTCTTTTGTCCATTTCAGACAATAATAATGTAAACACATGTCTGGTAATATAACACACAATCTGCTCTCATGCTGAAGGTGCTTCACTTTATAAACCATCTGTAATAGCTTCTATTAATTGTAAATCACATCACGATAAAATCTGTGACTAGCCAGTAAAGAAACAAAGAGCTGAATGAGTTCATATCCTGGCTCGTAAACCTTCTGGGAACTCGATGTCACCTCATCTGTACTGTGGCTGTTGTTGAATGTTTGGTAACACTTTATATTAGCCATTGCTACTAAACGCTACATTGATAGTTAATTAAGCTGTGGGCTCTGACTGTGTGGTTTAAAATTTATAACATCCAACCATTAACCACATCCTTAATTATCATTTCACTGTTTGTTAACATTAAATCACTATCAATGTTCAATCAGGTACCAATTACGGTGTGCATATGATGGTTATTATAAAATGTTACCTACAGATTCAGTGACATGTTTTTATAAAAATAAAACAAAATAATCATCACAGTAGTAAACATCAAGAAAAAACTGTAAACATTAATAAAAAAATAATAAAATTAATTCAGTTCCAGTGGCATGCAAATATATCTGTTATGCAATAGTAACATCAGTGAGCGATTAAGGCATTCAGCATTAATTGGAACATCATTTAGAAACCAAATATAGGAGCGAGGGTTGCTGGTAAACTGAGAGAAAACTCTTAATTTCACATATTTTCTGTTTTCAAATTATTTCACAGTAATTTCAGTTTAAGATGCAAAAAAGCAGGGGTGTCAAACATGCGGCCAGGGGTCCAGTACAGGCCAAAGAAATATTTAAGGTTAACGAATCAGCGGCACACATCTGAAACTGCTGCCCCTGGTGGTGAAGGTTTTAGTTTAATTTGAGCACAAAGGAGCCGTGGACATACTAGTGTGGCCCGCATGAGATCAAAGTGGGTTGGCCCATTCAAATAAGTCTCATTCATTAAAGTATAAATATACTGGCTGTAGGATATACTGAGTTCAGGATTATCACAATGCAGATATGAGAGAAAACAAAACTTTTTGGCTTTGTTAATGTAATACTGGCCTTTGTATTACAGCCACTTCTTTGGGTTTAACTAACATATTTTAAATTCAGAACACTGCTAACACCTCACACTGAATAAAGAGATCGCATCAGCGTCCAAAAATAAATAAAAAATCAAGCAGGAATTCACTCAGCACAGCGTCCTGGTGTGGATTTGAAAGCAGCATGAAGCTTAATTAAGCTGGATTTGTGTCTCGGTAAACAGTTAATGTCATCACACTGAAACAAATCAATAACTCAGCAGGAGATACACACAGAGTGCTACATCATTTGTCTTTAAAAACAGTAGAAAACAAGGCAGAGTCGTGTTACACAGATGCACAGGGAAATTATATTGGTGTGTGTGTGTGTTGAAAGGTGAACTGTTATCAGCTACATACAGCAGAGTAGCTGGCTGATGGGGTAGTGCGGATGGCGATGAAGATGGTGTTTATGTCAGTCCGATTTCCTCCAGCACGCTGCGCGGGGTCTCTGCTTCCTGTGACGAGAAAGAAGAACCACAGCTCCAGTGAAGCGCTCAGCTGGCCGCGCACACAAACACACCATGTTTCATCTGCTGTTATCAGCAGTGGAAGCACTACAGAAATATTCTAAGGAAATGATTGCTTGTAAAATAGATTCTCATTGATTTCCTTGTTACATTTGATACTATAAATCTAATCAAAGCCACATTAATCTACATGAAGATTTTAAAAGTGAATTTAAGCTGGGCTAGGCTGTTTTTAGGCACCACTGGGCAAAAATCTAACCTTTAACCTTTCAGCTTTTCTAACTCCCAGTAATCTGGGAGGATAATAGACTTCTGCACATCCTCTTGGCCTTTTTTAGATTTTAGAGAAAAATAGCCTGTTATGGTTGAAAGTTGGGAGTAATATAGTCAAAATAAAATTGTAATTTCTGTTGGTCCTCAGATCTCCCCGTGAGGATACATAGGACTGGACATTAAAGACGTACGTAACTTATAGGTCTTAAACCTGCATTCTTTATAATGGCCAGCAGGTGGCGCGTCCTCTGGGTTGGTCCCCTTTTTCACTTCAGAACTACCTCAGTTATTCATGCCAGAGATTCTGCAAAGTGCTGAAAATATTCCTATGATTTTGGTCCATACTGACATGACAGCATCACACAGTTGCTGCAGATCTATGATCTGAACCTCCTGTTTCACCACATCCCAAGATTTAGTGTACTGAGATCTGGTGACCGTGGAGGCCATTTGAGTACGGTGAACTTATTGTCATATCCAAGAAAACAGTTTGAAATGATCTGAGTTTTGTGTCATGATGGGTCATCCTGCTGAAAATAGCCATCAGAAGATGGATATTGTGGTCATAAAGGGATGTACATGGTCAGCTACATACTCCAGTAGGCTGTGGTGTTTCTCAGTTGATACTAAGGGGTCGAAAGTGTCCCAACAAAGACATTACATTGCCCCCTCTACCACCTGTCTTATCTTTGACATAAAACAGGATAAACCCATGCTTTCATGTTGTTTAGACCACATTCAGACACCACCATCCAAATGCTGCAGCAGAAATTGAGACTCATTAGACCAGGTGATGTTTTTCCAATTTTCTATTGTCCAATTCTAGTGAGCCTGTATGAACTTCTTAGCTGACAGGAGTGGCACCCAGAGCGGTCTTCTGCTGCTGTAGCCCACCTGCTTCTGAGTTTGAGATGTTGTGGGTTCAGAGATGCTCTTCTGCATTCCTGCGCATCAACAAGACATTTTTGTCCAGGGAACTGACCATTCTCTAGGAACCACAGAGATGTTTCTGAGATGCTTAGACCAGCTAGTTTGTTACCTTAACCATGCCACGTTCGATCACTTAAATCACTTTTCTTCCCCACACTTCAGCAGGCTGTCTTAACTATGTCTATATGCCTGAACACACCAAGTTGCTGCTATTGTAGCATACATGGGACATAAAACCAGAACAGAATCATTAATCAAATCCAGTAAAAATCACATTGTTTGCTGAATTCATCTGAAAATTATGTTTATAGCATTACACTTCAAAAGAAGGGTAAAGCAGGGTGTGCTTTACTATGTGAGTGACAAGTTACTACCCAAGAGCCTACGCCAGAAAGTTGATTCTGCTCATCTGGACGTAGCGTTTTTAGTAGGAGACTAAAGACTCTTTTTGACTTGTTAAGTCTCAACTGACTGTAGGTTTCCCCAACCTTCAATCTGATCCGTCCCTTACTTGTCACGATCAAGATGAAAACACTCATCTTGAGGGTTTAAAACAGGACTACTATCACCAGTGGGTGACAATCAAATTCCTATATAATACTCCAACATCATCTGTAATCATTAATAGACAAATATTTCCAGTTAATTTAGTTAAACAGATATAGACCGATAACGTCACAAGAATGGCAACAAGTTTACATAATCACAACATCTGTTTATACACTGATGACATCATTCTCTGGCTAACCAATCCCACAACCTCACTTCTATTAGTCCACTCTGATCAACAGTTTTGGTAAGGTCTCTGGCTACTCAGTGAACTTCCTTTAAGCCATACAAGGGGACCTACACTGTAATCATAAAACCCAGCTTATTAAATACCATGGAATAAATATTTCAGTTAACCCAAAAGATATCTTCAAATGCAACTTTACCACAATTTTTCACAGTATCCAACAACTCCATGACCAAAGGGAACACTCCCATTTTCTTTAACCCATCACATTGCCTCCATAAAAATGACGAGCCTCCCCTCACAATGACCCCTGTTACTTCACCTCCAGAATGATTTTCCTCCGTTAACTCTACAGTCAACAAATTCTATTGGAAAGATTGAAACCCTATACCGGTAATTAAATTGACCACACTTCAAAAAGCAAAAAAAATTGGTGCTTTAGACACTCCAGATTTCTAAAACCATTTCCTCTCCCACAAACTTAAATACTGTATATCTGAGATCGGACCAAAAACCTAAACTGTAAAGTTTGTCTAATTCAACACACTGTTTTCACTGGGAGATCAGTTACAGGTCATTACTGCTTCAAATCAAATACAATAAGTACCACTCTCTCTGCCTGATCTACAGCAAGCAACCTCCTCCTCTAACCTCCATCAGGCATAATCCAATATTCAAAATTGAGAAGAAACCCATTAAGCTCCCTCCATGGAAACAGGAAGGATTAACCAACCTGGGGCACCTATTCAGTGGCAACAGTTTCCTGATCTTCGATCAATTTCAACACTTAAACAACACACCTTAGAACCATCACTAACGGCAAATGAAAAAACGTCATAATTGATCATCATCTCTTGTTTTAAGAACAATCTGCACCCTTTACCCCCCCCCCCAAATATCTCACAAATACATGTTTTCACAGCATCACCACTCATAAAATGAACATAATGGGTTTAAGTAACATCACTCTGTCCCACTGAAATAGAGGATTATTTCTACCCATTCTGGCTTTGTGCTCCAGTAGAACAATTCAGGGTCATGGGGCAGCTGTCCAGGCTCCCCAGCCTCAGGATCCCACAATCCCCATCTGTTATATGTCCAACCCACTGATCCTCACTGACCAAACGCCATGCAAATTTAAAGAAATACATAAAATCCACCTTTTTGCCTCCACTCCACTATTTCTGTTCATTTGCTTCTGTGCTTGATGTGATGTCATATTGTCATCTGTCAATTTGAGTTTTTATTCATTTGTAAATTTTTTTAAAATGAGAGGAAAAAAATTGGCTGACATCACGACAGACAATCACAGCAGGTATACAAAACAGAAGCAGCAGCCTTAACGTCAACTATAGATGACTAGTGTTTGACATCAGCCAACGAGAACCTGGCTAATTCTCCTTTCTGACTCTAAAAATACAAAGATAAAAATGAAAAATTGAACTTAATGTTTGATTCAGTACGACGTGAAACTAGCGACTAATCAGGGGCACAGTGAAAGTGAGTCATGGCCTGTTTTCCCATAGACTCGGGTAGGACCAGAAGAGTCGCCCCTGGTGTCAATTAAAAAAGAAAATGCAGGTTTAAGGTACTTGGGTGCTGGTTTATCTTTTACTCTCAATCTCAATCTTTATTCAGTCAGAGAAGGACGAGCTGAGGTGCAAAGGAGCTTGCAGGTTTGCAGGGGTCTAAAGCATCTTAAAACATCATGATCTATATGAGGTTTGCCAATAGGATGCATAGAAGGCCCGACTTCCTGACCTGCTCTTTAACACTTTATTGGCTGTTCTACAAAGGAATACATTTAAATACAAGTGAAAGCAGAACAAGCAAGAGCCACCCACAACCTCATACTTCAGTTTTGTTAATAAACTGGTGATTTTATAGAAAAAATGTTCACTATTCAACATCCCTCACATTTATATATGCACTAACTTAGAATAAACAAACAAACAACAGGACAGACAGGCTCTATCCTATTTAATGCACATCTACTTTGCTAATCCTACCCTAACCAGTTCTAACTAGTGTCACAAGTTGTAGTTAACAAATTTCAGGGCTTGTGTCAGAAACAAAGAGAATCACTTACTTTGGCATCCTAAAAAAAGGTTCAGCACAAAGTAAAGAGAGTAAATTCATCAGAGCAGTGACATAAAATTCATTTAAGCTAACACTTCGACACAGTGGCGTCTGTGGTTTCATTTTCAGTGCAAAATGTTCAGACGTGACCTCAAAACATCCACTCTGCATTAATCACCCTTTATAGACTTTTCACACAGGGGAAATATTTTGTCAGAGTGATGAATCCCTCGTTGCCGATTATGTAGGCTAAACCCGTTAATCTGGGAAACGAATGGCGTTCTGCACAATTCAGACAGAAAATAAAAGCTGTGGAAAAAACCCTCCAATTTCAGAGAGCCACAGGGGGGAAATCCATAAACTCAGAGAACAACGGTTATATTAAAGAAAGACACCAGTGTGCTGATGTGACAGAGAATCGTAAACAATTTATTATGTATCCATTACGTACATCAATAAAGTGAGGGTCCATTTATTCAGCTGGCTTTCATTAGCAAGACACAGAAAAGACATTTCATATGAAATATTTATTTATTTATTTATAATAGAAAACATATTTGTAGGTCTAATTGTTTCAAGCGTTTAAACATCTATAATCAACATAAAACCCCGAAGAATCTTTAATCCGTGCAATCATTGCAAATACAATATTCATTTAGGCAGAATTCCTCTGAAACCACTTACCTTGAAAAACTTTTTTTTAATATTTATTTAAATATTTATTTAAATAGGAAATAATCATGATCTGTGAATATTTTTTAAAATAACTCTGCTTATTAAGAGACAGACACTTAAAAACTATTAAAACGTCTACTGTGTGCTTCAGTGTGAACACTGGTTTGATTTTCACCCTCATAAGAACGTTTTACAAGATCACAGCAAAAAGAAAAACCTAAAAATCAAACAGATACGTATGATGTGAGAGTGAGAAGATACAAGCAAAACAGATGAGATACAGAAATGGGTGAACATGACTTCTATTGCATTCACTTCCCACAAACATGACCTGTGAGTCAAAACAAGTTAAAGACATGAAAAAACTGGATGAACCCCGCATGGATGTAATACTGACTCAGGTATGAGTGGTGAGCGTGGAGTCTGTGTTTAATTAAAGCTCAGGTTTGTATTTTGTGATCTGGACTTCGAGAATTTTGAAATTCTCTGTGTTTATAATTAAATACTTTTAAAAGTACTGAACTGTATTTTTAAAACACAGTCAGCACCTGTACTACTTGTTTGCCCAAAGACCAAGTAGAAACAGCACAAATGAACAAAAAAATGAAAGAAACATTTTGTGAAGAACATCTATCATAAAAAACTGATGTAATCTCTTATTTGACATAAATCTAAATCAGTCTTGTATGCCATCATGATTAACAAGGTCAACTTAATGCGTTTTTTCCAGAAAGTGATGCAGCTATGAAGCGGAAGAAGTTATTTACTAAGTGGAACTGCTATTTAGAGTGGACCTATTATTTTCTGTTACACAATTTTCATAAACAGTTTGACTCAAAGCTGTCACAACGCCAGATTTTCAGTGGATGACTACGGCAGCCAAAAGTAAATTAAATGCGAGACGCTGTTTGTTGGACCTGACTTGTTCAAAATATCCTGAAGCTAGCTTTAGCTCAAAACACAAAGCAGAGGAGCGGAGGAAACAAACTGGAATTAAAAGAAAGAAACACTGTCTCTAGTGTTTCTTTTAACAACCACAGAGGTATAAAAGAGCAGTGACATCACCGATTGGTTGTGGAAGTCTCTCGAGATGAACGCTCTTGCCGTCACATCTTCTTTTTGAAACTGGTTGCAATGAGCAAGGTGTGGCTCTGACTAGGGCTGTTCAATATAACGATATATATCAGATGACGATATAAAAACGTCTATCGTTTCATTTTACGCTATCGTTTGTTTCGTGCTGTTGCAAAATAAACTGTTTAGGGCAATATTTTTTCATCGTTTTGATGGTCACTGTAGTGGCTATATTAATTTCCTAAAGTTCTCTCTTTCTCTTATATTTCATATAACCACACTACCAAAGGACAAGCGCCTGTTTTTATGCATTGTCGTTAGCAACAACGACGGCAACACCATCACGTGTCCGCTTGTTTATTTTCTACATAAACCTTTCACAATAAAGCTCAAGATCCTGTTGAGACTTTTCAAAATAAACTGAATCACGTGAAAGAGTATGCAGAGTATTTACCGATGAGAAGCAAAAAAGGAGCCGTCAGGTGCTAAAAAATAAACCTTAGACTCAAACGTTAGAACAGGCTTTTCCCGCAGCCGTGTAATAAATTCTCACAAAGAAAACGGCGGCAGTTACAACCTGTCTAAAAATGTGTCATTTAATGCATCGGTAAAACACTCGACTCCAGATACACGACGCCCAGCTGGAAACACTTCAGCTACCCGAGATTCACAGAATTTACAGAAAATGTAAAATTTTGTGATTTATATCGTTATCGGACGATAGATGTTTTATATCGGGATATCAGATTTTGGTCATATCTGACTGTGAAACCACAAACCAACATGTATACTTGGGTTACCTCCTTTCTGAGAGTTGGAATGACCAAAATTTGCAAAACAGACTCTTAAGTTTTATTCAGTGTGACCCAGAAAAGCGTTTAATCTAAGAGTTTTCATGCAGACTCCTGCAGTATAATAGGTCCACTTTAAATTATTGTTAATATTTTATTTTTGGGTCATGATGGCACTTAATTTGCTGCTTTACAACAATAACAAGGAAACTGTTGAAATAACACAAAGAGTTCAGTGGAGCAATGACAGGCATGTGACAATGCATCACCGCAAAATATCAAATGGATCGATAACAATATTGATTACGTTTTCACGCCCCATAAACAGGATGCAGATCTCTTTGTGTAAATGCTTCCATTCATGGTTGTTTTAAATTTGAATTTGATAATATTGTATCATGACTGTCATGTATGAAAATGAATGAAAACTGAAAATACTGTTACACCCCCAAACCAATGACAATGTCAGGTGCCGCGTGCAGAAAGGAAGGTGCCAGGCACTGAGGAGCTCAGCATGCAAGGTGGATAGCAGCAGCAGCAGCAGCAGCAGCAGCGGTGGCAGCCAATCAGTACACAGGCACATTAAAGTACTCATGACGGGGCTGGAGGAGAGAAATGCACACAGCTTAGTAAACAAAGGCAATACTGCTTCCAACAGCCACTTCATTCATAACGTGCAGGAGACAGAGCAGCAGGCAGGACAAAAGACTCTCACCATTGTTTCCTCTTCTCCTCTCAAAGGAAAGTTTGGCAAATGTTTGCTTTCTGGCTTAGCTTAAAAGCTGGTAATACATAAGTGTGGCTAATTCTAGAAAAAACGTACCCATTTTCCGTCTTACCTTATTAAAGAAAAAACTCCCAAAGGTGAAACAATCATTTTCAGCATGAAAGTACAAACACTGTCTAACTTATTAAACGTTATCTCACAGCAGGTACAACATAGCTGTAATCATACAAGTCGTAGTAGTGGACAGCGTCACTGAAATGTTAACATATGAAAGTAGAATAAAGACAGATTAGTGATGAGTTCACTCCAAACACGAAGCAAAGTTTTTACATATCAAGTCAACGTGAAGAGGTGAATTAATGCAGGCAAAGTGATAAGATGCGTTTAAAAATTTGCATCCACATGAGGTTAAGTTTTGCAAAAAAATTCACTTCACACTGTGTTGCAAAACCTCATCAGCTGTGATGCTCTGGACGTCACCAATTGAGCTTACTGACGCATGTCAGGGGAGATCGAATTGCATGGCTCAACGTCGCTTTTACATCCATGAAAAAAAGGAGACAGAGTTGGAGAAAAACAAAACTGTAGGAGTTCATGATATGTTCTGAAAATAGATAAGTGTAACTTGATTCCAGCTATTGAGTGTACGCCTCCTCTTCTTGTAGGCTGCTAGTGGCGAACATTTGTGTTTTTTCAATGCACCCGTATTTGTATGAGTAACTCAAGGTGAGACGTTGCTTCATGTCTGGCGTGAACGCACCAAAGGACAGACCTCAGTTTCCAGTGTAAACATGTAATTTAAGAGTTAAACGACTGGTTACTGTGAAAAGGAGTCGATGAACGAGACCAGGAAGACCGTCTAAACCAGCACGAACTGTGCTACACACAGACAACGATCAGTCACAACATTAAAAGCCACCGAAACAGCTCTGACTCATCAAGACTTCAGAATTTCTCCTGAGGTATCAGACACCAAGACGTTCACAGCACATTCTTTATATGTTGGAAGTTTTGAGGTGGACCTTCATATATTTAATGTGTTTCATCAACTCATCTTGGAGATTGAAATCTTTGGAATGTATAAGTCTAATCGGGATCTTGGACTTTGGTTCTTTAAAATCTTCCTGTACTTGTTCTTCACTATGACAGGACCCATTATCTTGCAGAAATAAGTGACCGCCATCAGGGAACATCTCTGTCATAGAGGGGTGTATGTGGTTTGCAACAGCATTCCAGTAAAAGTCAAAATGTTTCCCAATGTTTCCCAGCAGAACATAACACAGATCACTGTGCTGCTCCCACAGGGCTGCCTTCTTCCCATATTGTGTCCAGGTGCCATCTTTCTGCAGGTAAACAGTGCAGTCCAGGCCTCTTCCTTCCATGGCGCCACGGTTCAGCTGTTCCACTCATGTGTGAGTTGTAGGAGATTTTAGCAGTTCAGCAAGACTAAATTAGATCATGGTTCCTGTGCACCAGCAAAGCCCCTCTAGAAACATGTCTTGCTACTCATAGGCATCTTGGATCCTTTTCATTGATTTATTTTAAAGCTTTATCTAAATTAACATTATTTTCAATAGACGCAGCATGAACAGAATCACCGGTCAGGTCCGGGAAAAAAAATGCTTAAAAGGTTTGCTGACTTCACACCAAAATGAGGTTTTGAAAATTCAAGATTTTTTGAGTCCCATGTCTTTCTCTTAAATTCTTCCTGTCACTGATCATCCTTCCCTGGACCACTTTTAGTAGGTACTGACAGCTGTGTACTACAAACAAATTATTAGAGAATTCTGTAATGACAAAGATGGCTCCAAAGAGCCAATCAACTGCTGAAATGAGAATCATCTTATTGTGCTACATATTAGAGGTTCACAGCTGTTTCAACTGTATAGCTGCAAGTATGTTTCTCTACTCTTTATCGTACTAAAGATGTGGATAAGAGTGGGAGCAATTTGACTATTCCTCAAATGTGGCCCCCGCTCTGATATGACTGTGTGGTTATAGTAGAATAACTTTACCTGGCAGAGTTTGGACCTCGTTTTCTCCTATTTTTCCAAACTTTCTGATGGTAGCAGTCATCCATGGCTTTAAACGTTTCTCCTATTCGCACAGTAGACTGCACTGCACGCCATGCATTGGACCAGTAGTGCTTTTCTTCTGTCTTTGTTGTTTAGTGGTTGACAAACAGCATCTACTTGATAAAGTGACACCTTTGGGGTCAGTAGTGCATTATGTCTTGATGCATGCTCAATCATCCAGGTAAGTAAATCCTCCAAAGTTGATTCTGTTCATCTGAACGTAGCGTTTTCAGTGGGAGAAACGTTTCGTCACTCATCTAAGTGACCTCTTCAGTCTCAGCTGACTGCAGGTTTTCCCAACCTTATAAACAGTACCTTTGCATAATGACTGAAACCAGACCACTGAAGGAACAATGGGCTTGGAGCCTCTGTGATGAGATAATTAGTGTCACTCACCTCACTGTCAGTGGTTTTAATGTTGTGGCTGATTAGTTCACACAGTTAAAACACTGAGACATGAGGGCTCTAGCGGTACACACAGCCTAAATCCACAGACACGACGTATTCACCTTAGCAGGGCTAATTCTGGAAAAGACCAGAAGACTCAGAGGCCATATTTGGAACCACCATACCTGTGAGGCAAACATTTTTACAAGGACAAAGTAAGTATGATACACCGTCGTCACGACTCTCAGCAACCTACAATGCGGGTATTACACATCTACAGACTCTGCTGAGGGAGTAGGAGATTAACCGTGCACCACCACAATAACTGTGCCCTCTTTGTGGCGATGGCTCTGCTCAATTTATCTCTGATGTCTCCCATGCAGGGCTGGAAACCTTCTGAGGCATCATTATTCCAAAAGAAGATCTCCTTCCTGGCACCAAAGTAATGGCCAGCTCCTGAGAAATATTTCATTAAAGGCTTATTGAAATCGCTTCAACCAAATCCCCTGTGGTATGTTTTCCATGTAATTACTGCACTATGCACTTACTAATGCCTAAAGGCACAAGGACCTAACTCAGAATGAGCCCAGCTCCTCCCGCATCACTTTTACCTGCAGTTTTTAGTATCCACAAACTTAATACAAGTTTAAATTTAAGGAAAATTAAAATTAAACATTCTTGCCCCTAAAGTAATTAAAATGGAGCCTGATTTGTCTGTTTGTTTATCATCTGATGTTCCACTGTTACCCTGTGGTGTTAAAGCTTCCTGCTGAGTAGCCTGATTACTGAATTACACTGTCAAGAAATTTGTGAACTAAACAGTTTCTCAATCACCAGGAGCGCTTTTAATTTGATGTGATTGCTCTCCTGAATTTAAAATAACTAAAAAAAAACAAGAGGCATCAGAATAGTGACTAATTATCAAGCGCTGGTTTTCATGCTGGTGACATTCTTGATTCTCACTGTGAAAAGACCAAAACCATCGATGAACTGGTCTGACTCATTCCTCTGTGTCTCAGAGCTCCACTGTGTGACACATTCCTTCATAATCCCAAATAATCATCCTGTCGTTAACTTTAAGGTAAGCCAACAAACACCATTACGCTGCTGGAAACAGTTTGTACCACACCACGTGTATTATTCCACACCCAAAGTACAGTGGAACCCCAACTTACGAAATTAATTCGTTCCCGAGGGTCTTTCGTAAGTCGAAGCACCCATCGCACCTTTTGAGTGAACGATAGGCTATAGGCTAATTGCTAACTGCAACAACAATCCGGTTGTTCAGTGATGACGCGACGAATCCTACTTCCGGGCCTAAAGTAGTCTGCGTTTAATATGGCTTTTGTGTTGTTAACATGTTTAATGTTATGTATTTTCTTCTATTTGATCTCAAAAAGCTCCTAAAACAGTCAGTGATCACTGTTGACCTCCCTCGGCTTTTATTACCACTAATCATTTATTTAAGCTCAGTTTTTAAAACCTTAGGATGTAACTACAGCCCAGCCCATGCAGCAGTATATGAATGACTAACCTCGTATTGTGGATGGATTATCTCAGTTGTTCTCCTGGCTGAAGTTTGGTCCTTTTACAGCATCCTGCCATGCGATTACATTTGTTCCTGACCACCGAGAACACTCACGTTAACTTTTATCGAGTGGAAAAAAAGTTAGCTTGTTTATATTATGCTAACATAGCTGTGTCGCTAGCGGTCACGTAGCACATCATTATATACCAGCTAGCCAACTTCAGTAACCCTACAAACGTCACTGCTGTTTAGTTTTCTGTCTTCATTTATGCTGGAAGTGATAGCAGAGCTGTACGTTTTAATTTGTTTCCAAAACCCCGCAGTCAGGACATGCTATATTGTATTTAGATAGAAGCTAGCGAGCTAACTCCCTGCTAACTTCTAACTCCGTTAAATGTCATAAATTCCGTTTTCATGGATGCCTGGATGTTAAACTCAATTGTTACACCTGGTAGAGCAGAACGCTGATCATTTTATTAAAGATGAAAGACTTTAGACAGTTTTTCAACTCTCAGTAATGCCATAGTGATCGTTTGATATATGGACCTGCAGCGGAGTTTAGACCCAGACACGGCTAGTGACGTCAGACTGAACAACGGATACGTCGCTCAAGTGGAAAAGCGAAGCGCAAGTACGAAAGCCAAAGGGGTTGCCACATGATTCGGAGGGCATTGTGGGCATTGTAGGCATTCTGGGCTCAGCCAATCAGAGCCAGCGGATTTTGTTACGCAGGCATTTTGCCATAACACGGGCAGAAATATTGCGTTAAGTGCCTTCGTAACTTGAATTTTTCGTTAAATGGGGTATTCGTAAGTCGGGGTTCCACTGTAGTCTAAAAAAATGCTAATATTTATAATAAGTGAGCAAACTTTGATAGGAACTACAAATAATTATTTAAATGTTTAAATAATTATTAAAACATATTTATATTCATAAGATTTTTATTTTTTTAAGCACAGATGTGGTTGTTGTGACAGCTATCAACCACATCAGCAAACATGGAGAGAGCGTCACTTTGGTTTTGGTCTTTTCTTCTGGATTTGTAATTATAAAAAAAAAAAAAAAAGCAATCTGTCTCAATATATATTGGCAATTAATAAGAATGAATGAAAGTGAACAGTATTAGTACAAATGCTTATATAATAATTTTATAGCGTAGTTTCATTGTTCAGAAATCATAAATTTGAACAGTTTCATTCAGTGCTGTTAGAACAACAGCTGGTCTTCACACAGGCAGCATATTTGTTTCAATTTAAAATCCCAAAAAAAATTTAAATGACAAGAATTAATAGTTTTAATTTTCTGCAATAATGTTACAGTAATCAAAATTTACAATCAGAATCGACCAAAGCAAAAGTAGGAAGGTTCGGATTATGCTGCCTGTTAGTCTACTCAGACATATCTAAACATTCAAAACTGACTTGGTGCCTGTTATGACCCTCATGTTGTGTCACGTACGAGGTGCGATCAAAATGAAAACCTTAACTGACCTCAAATTTGTCCAATCTCCCTTCATGATCATCAAGTTTTGCACCTCTGGACAACTTCCATTATTTCTGTGTTTGGATTGCTCAGCGGCAGCAATTCACCTCTGCAGGCACCGCTCCGATGGATCTAAGGTCTTGACCAAAGTGTCAAAAAGGTGACCAAATCTGGCAGTAATAGACCTTTTCCACTGGTATTGACTCAGCTCAACTCAACTTGGTTTCTGTTGTTTTCCATTAAAACTGAGTACCACCAAATTGTGTAGGGTTGTTATAGCAATGCGGTCAAAAGTCCTGTGATGCCTGTGAGGCCATGAATGCCACAACTAGGGCTGCCACGATTAGTCGACTAGTCACGATTACGTCGACTATTAAAATCGTCGATGCGTTGTTTGAAGCTTTGTAAGATCACAAAAGCTGCAGGAATAAGTAGTAGGATTTAAGAGTGTAATAACGAACTGAAACAGAAGATGGCAGCACTGCATGTACAAGAATGCCAGCTGCTGTTAAACCCCGAAGAAGAAAAAGCAGTGTCCCAGAATTCATAGCGCGGCCCAGCTTAGTTTCCAACAATGGCGGCAGCTAGTTAGTTTTAATATTACTCTTACTATTCTTTCTGGGTCACAAAATAAACGTTTAACATATTTTCAGGCGAGAATGTAGCTGTGTAAACTTCAAATATCTGCTCAGTTTATCAAGACACCACATATTTTCAAAAGCACTCCGACTTTTTCGGAGACGTCTGTTACCCACTAGCTCGATAGTTAGCCGGGATTCAAGGCTCACTAGAGCCGCTGAGAACACCGGACTCCCGGCTAATCGTTTTCAAACCCACTGCTGTCTTTTGCTACTCAGGTTAAACATGATATATAAGTCACTTAGATAACTTAAAAATGTTATTGTTTGGATTTTTTCAGTATTTTATTTGTTCCTGAGTAAATCGGTTTGGCTGAGATTAAAGTTATAGTTTTTACACAGCTGAATAAACGTCAAGCAGACAGCTGATTATCAGAAGTGTGAGATGCTCGAGAATATACTCCGGTGTCCTGTTATATTTTAGATAGCAAGCTGTAAGCTAATGATAGTTATATAAGAGCAGATGCATGCTGGTGCAATAAGCTGTACGTTGTACATCCAATGGATGCATGATCTGATTAGTCGACTATCAAAATAATCGTTTGTGGCAGCCCTAGCCACAACAAAGGAGGACATCTGCTACACGGTGTATGGCTTTTTGGCAGACTCGGGGATGAGGGTATTATTTTTTGTGAAGCCAATTTATCTTTGCTGGGGGATTTTTTTGTTTTTTTTAAATAATGGTGGTTTTGATTTTCATGATAGAGACTCATGACTCATTGAGTGACGTCAATCTGTGCCATGCAGTCTGTTGGCATTATATTTTCAGACTGCCTCAGATCATTTGGACCCCTGGCCGAGTAGGTACTAAAAAAAAAGTGCCCGGTACCAGGTACTACAACTCAGTGGAAATCCCTAAAAACTGAGTCGAGCCGTGCCGAACCAACTCAAGTAGGTATTAGTGGAAAAGAGCTGTTAGTGTGGTTGATAAGCAGTGTGTGGGTTGGTATGTCTCTGTGAGTGAGGGCACGATGGCACATGCTACAGTTCCGGTGGTTTATGCATAATCTCCTGCCTTATAGTAGAATCAGCAACAACAGACAAATCTATTATGTGTACCACCTAATGAGACAATTAACAGCCGAACTAGGAACTTAAACCTGTTTTTGTTTTCGTGCAAAGTCATCAAACTTTGTACTGAATGAATTAACCTTGCACAAATGTAAAAATACAATGAGCATGCACCTTAGGAATTTGGTTTGACGTAGGAGTTGCTCTTTGCGTAATGTTAGGTTAGGTTGTGTAACTGCAGAACACACATACAAATGGTCCAAATGAGTCACACAGGCGCTGGGTGTGGTCCAGAGGTGCAGAGGAAGATGATTTTTTTTACATTGAAACAAATCAAATTTAAAAGAGGCAAAGGTTTCTTCTTTGTATGGGCAGAGTCGGACTACCCTTTGATCGCAGCCTGTATCTAGACTCAGAGTTATGAGACAGTCACACTGACAGGCGTACATGCAGTTGACGGCACGCAGAACTGGAAACCCATGCTGACTGACTGAATGTACCAGTCTAGTACTTATCAATACCCTGG